GGGCCAGGGCTGGGGGCTAGGGGGTGGGGGGATCCGTTGTCAAAAGAACTAGAGCCGTGTTGTGTGTGTGTGTGGGTAGACACACACACACACACACACACACAGAGAGAGAGAGAGAGAGAGAGAATTGTTGGTCTGACCTTCTTTAACTCAGCATCTGGAATATCCCTTTTAAGTCTCAATTTAGCTGCCTCAACAATTGAAGCCTTTTTAAGCTTTGCGGTGGGACCATCCGCAATGAAAAGATCAATAATTACTTTCCTGACAAGAAATAAAAACATACCACGTTAATGTTTGGGATTTAAGGAACTTGTTTGTTTGTGTGAGGATGAGAGAGTTGACATTGTGAGTATAATTAATTACCTTAATGGATCGTATTGAGGACTCTCTGGTGATGACTTCAGAACATATACATCATGGATGTTAACAGCAACCTGACTAATAATTGCCCGGAGTTCCTCTGGGGGAGCATCAACACCCAATGCCGCAGCTTGTAATTCTCTAGCATCTCCCTTTGGACGAACAGTCTCAGAAACAGCCATTTCTCTCAACCGTTGGATGATTTGTTGAAAACTGATAACGAAAATTCAGCTGAATTACATGCATCATAACTTTAAACATGAAAAAAACCAAATGGGTGCATGATACTTTGAGGGGTGGGAAATAAATTGCTTCAAGAGCTGGGGCGGGAATGCAAGACTCTTTACATATGAAAAGTAATAACTTATTTTAAATTTCTATCTTTGTTTTCAGATTCCTAAAACAAGAACAGAAGTTTGTAATTTATGTTATCTCCCTCCTCTAAAAGAGTCATGTTTTATAGAAATCATATTTATTCATAATACATAATAGAAAACAAAAATGGCCAACCAGACATGTCTATATATCTTAGAAACTTACACAGTTACATACAAAAACGAAAGAAAAAAATTGTAAACAAACAAACCCTTGGTAATTAAAAGTCTGGAGGGATAGGGCACAGCCTCCTGTGGCATTTTTGGGTACTAATATACAGTTTAATATGCATCACAATGTTTCACAGAATGGTTCATCTACCCGTTCTAAGCATGATGCACACATGCATGTATAGTAGAATAAGAAACAGATCTTAGGATTGGCTGAAAGTTGTTCGAAATGAGGTTTAAATTACTGACAAAGAAAGTGAGAAGTTTGACCTGCAAACATTGTGAATCTTGAAAAGTTTCAGTAGGGCCTTTGGTAAAGCTTCTCGAGTTTCTTTCGACATCGAGGTCGCTGGCAAAGTGGAACTCACAGTTCTTGGTCCTTGCTTATCAGAATTTACCGTTGCTGGGGAGTTTTTTGTTGTGGCATTCTCTAAAGATAAAGTATTTCTTCCACGACGCTTATTTTTTTCTGTGCGAACTGCATTAAGCAATTTTTCTCTGATACTTTCCTGAATAGCAGCTTGCTCCTTTGCCACCTCTTTATAACGTTTTAGAAACTCATAATCAGGACTCTCTTTAAGCTTCCAATCCTTGACGGTTGGTCTCTCAACAGCTAGTACATTCAGAATGTCTTTCATATGTTTCTCAAACACAGAGTTGTCCTTCAATAATGACTTTTTTATAAAAGGCGCCTGGCTAAACAAAAAGAGAATATAGTCCCTGGCCAGAAGTTCTACGCCGCTGTTCTTTCCAAAAACTAAAGGACTTTTTGGAATCCAAAGTCCTTGAATTAATAGTGCATGTTTTTGGACTATTCTCAAAATTTCTTTTGCTGCTTCTTCTTCAGGGAGTTCAGGAGCTAGGTACTTCAACGCATTGAAACGATGAATAGGTGGCCCCTGTGTGTACTTTTACGTTTGGTCAAACAGAAAAATGCTAAAAAGAGAATATGATAGTTTCTTGCTATGATACTACGTAAAATTACGAGGGTGCATACCTCACGAAGCCAAGATTTCACACGTTCTTCCAATGGCAACGAACTCATGTACCTGAAGCAACACTTAATTGTTACCTACCCTTATACTTCAGGAGACATCAATCACATCATAAACCTTGAATCTTATTCTTGTTTTGAAATCAGTACGCCATACTATTTGCAGAGTTCAATATTTTGGTTGTCAATGCACTAAAAACATAGCATTCATGAACAAATAGGGCCATAGGGGTATTTAAAGGCATTAAAAAGAAAGTGAGAAAGTAAACGTAAATGACACAGAAAAGAGCATCTATTACACTATCATAATGTGTCACACTGGTACAACTACATTTCTTATCGACTTAAAATAATGCTCAACATATAAAAAAATATTATAGTTGTAGCCTGGCAAGACTTACAAGTTGATAAGAACGAAGTTACTCTGAATATGGGAAGTATACGATATTAAGATCACATAAAAACCAACTGCTGCTTATTATATACTTCCTCTGTCCAGGTTTTAACATATATACATGTCAACAATGCTAATATGTTCTTGAAGGGTACTTTAGATTGTCCATCATATATTGTTTAAAATATGAAAAGTGGACAATCTCAGATGCACAAAAATAGAAAAGTGCACAACTAGATCCGAACAAAGTGAGTAGCACTTTGATAGTATACTCCCTCCATCCATCCCAAAAAGACGTGTCCAGTTTAACTTGGCATAATAAAGTGAAAAACGTGTGATTATAATACATACAAAGGAGAGATAAAGTTTGAGCAACATGAAACTTTCCAAACATAGAAACAGCCACGTCTTTTTTGAATGACCCAAAATAGAAACAGGTAAGTGTTTTTGGGGCAGAGGGAGTATTTCTTTAATTATATGGAGTAAAATACAAGCTCTGTTTAGAGCAGAAAACAGAGCGTAGGAATATAGAAATAATCCCATTGATCCACCATGGAGAAGAGTTCTAGCTGAAACTGTGATGAAATCAGACTCCCAAACAAATAAGGCAAGTAGTCTTTTATTGAAGAATGATGATACAATACCATAAAATGTAAAATAATTACTCCGTAATGAGAAATTAAGAACAAACTACATAGTGTACTCATAGTTAAGCTGGACTGTATGAGTACCTTTTTGGGGGGCCTTTGACTTCATCACTTTCAGACGACACGCCTGGACACAACGCTTTCATATAGTCATACCTTTGGTGGAAAAAGATAACCGAAGTCAATAGAACTATATCTTTGGATTAAAAAAAATTGGGAGGTGGTATTGAATTGAAGCGAGCAAAATAATGAAGGCCTAAAAAATAAAAATGTGATCAAGCATTGAAGTAATACACACGGGCTCATGGAAAACTGTATCGAAGAACCTTCAACCTCCACCATTTTTTGTAAATATCTCGATGACATGTCACTCTCTCTAGGATAGTAATTGAGGCGCACCCAATCCTGCAAATTGAATAAAGAAAAAATGATATGACATAAAGACCATTGAACAAGGAAAGAAAACATAAATAAAAATGCACAAATACGGTTAAAATTTTATGGAGTCTAAACAAAATACAAAATGTTTTTTTTGTACCTCTTCAGTATTCTTATCTTGCATTGTTTCTAGAGGTTTGGTCTGCACATGAACATATAGACTTTAGAAGACAAAAGATTTAAATAGAAGCTTTAAAACCAAACAATTTGGGAGCAAAAGCTATTTAGGTTGGCAGCTATTGAAATGTGCATGATTGCACATGCACACTGAATAGACACCAAAGAGTATGTGACTGCATAGTCTGCATTTTACCAAGGCACATATTCATACTGAACATTTTTATACTAAAACTTTCATTAAAAAGATTATATGATAATCAATCAATTGAAAGTAAATCTAACTGGAGAAGTGGTTACTTGCCTGCTTATTTGATGGAACTAAAGTCTTTTCTTCCTTAACTCCTGTTTTAACGTGTTTCTCAGCAATGCTAGTTTGAATGTTTGTCTTGCCAGGCTCACTAGGCGTAAGATGTTGCATTGATGGTCGGAGTTGCACAACTGCATGAATGGGATTGAGGTGCAACTGCATGAAAAACAAAACAAAATATGCATCTTTTTCATTAATTTCTCACGTTTGGAACTACAGAAAAATGTACCAAAATTGTTGATAATGGTAATTGTACTCGAACTCCTTTTCATTAAAATAGTTGAAATTGATGATACTGCATTCTCACTATAACACATACCCCTGATATCCTAAAATAGAAATTGTACGGAGTATAATTTTTCCTTCTGGACAGCTTTAAATCCTCAGATAAAGAGATAATCTAGGTCACCTCCAACGTACCAGAGTATATTTTATTAGCTACCAAAACTTTTGTTTTGGTTATCCTCCCTTTGCCACAAAATGATCCTCCCACTTTCACTTTTTGGATATCCCAAAATGATCTTGAGTTTTCATTTGTAGGCATATAATTTTTCTATCTTTCAAATTAAAATACACTTTACTTTCACCAACCTATACATTTACCAATTACCACTCCCTCCGTCCCAAAATGATCTTCTTATGTAAGAACACGGAAATCAAGAGCGAAAAGAAAATTATCTAAACGCTTGATGTACATTTTTGGGTTTAATAAAGATTAAGAAATATGTAAAAAATACATTATGTTGGTTGTTGAGGGAAAAAGGTTCCTTTTTTATTGAAAAGAATTAAAAAGTGTACACTAAAAAAAGAAATGGGAAGATCATTCTGGTACGCCCAAAAAGGTAAGTGTGAAGATCATTTTGGGACAAGTACTATGCCTTTTACTTCACACACAAAAAATGATAAAGATATAGAAAACAAAGGGTGTTAAAGAGCAAACCTTGTTGCCAGCCAAGACCCCAACGGCATATCCAGTTGAGAAAGGAGTTGGTTTCCACGAAGTTGAAAGAGTCTAAAAAGACCACTAACAATTAGAGATTACAATAAAGCATGAACCAGGGAATTTTGTTTTAAGAAGATAATCAAATAACTGCAATTTTGCAATGAAGTGATAATTTAACATAAAGAAGGGCAGAATGCCCCGATGCATCGAAACTTAACATTTCAAATTTTCAATGGCTTTATAACAATAATTTCATAAATCCTTAAATAATAAAAATGATTCATTGTTCCAAAAAATGAATTTGCTTTCCTAATCTCAAAAGTTAATAAAGGAAGAATGAATCTTAAAAACCTAGCAATCCAAAATGTAATTACTCATTAGCGCATTGAAATCACATAAACTGCAATGCATGCAATCAAACAAGGCAAGAAACATCTTCCTTTAGATTAAAAGAAATTCTCAACGATATGATAGAAAGTCCATTTATTACAAAACAGAAAAACTGAAATGAATACATCCTCTCACAAGTCACAATAAATTTGGATCATACAACTAGGCCTTCCGGAATAAAACCAAGCCACCTGAAGAGAATTATATATTTCTCAATATTTTCAGCAGAACAAATATGTTGTGGGCTTGTGGCAGTTCTTGCTCTTAGAAAAGAAAATGCATTCATAATTTGACAGCGAGGAGATTAATTTCCGTAAGGCTCTGTTACATGGGAACTAAAGCACATGCGAGAAGCACAAACTTGGGAAACGAAGGGATACTGGGATCCATATTATTTAATCCTAGCTATATTGATCCAAATAAGAAATAACAGGCATTTTGATCTTCCACCTATGGAACCACATGTCTGTCTTTTTATGGCATATGGAAAATGGTATGAAATGCAATGGGGATCCATGATGAATTGAAACATTATACAAGCATACCAAATGGAAACAAAGTCTTAACAAAACACAATAAGCTCAGAGCCAAACCTGCTTTGTCATCTTTACTCCAGGAGCAGCATCACTGTCATAATTCTTGGAATCAACGTCAACCGCGAGATCAATTTCAACTTCTGAACTTCCAGGCTTCACTCTTACCTGTAAATGAGCATCCAGGCCAATCCATTCATTGCCTCCTAAGCTGCAGGTATAAGGAATACCAAAGAATTGACTTAAGAGTAGAATAGTATAGCTCAAGGAGCCAACATTCTTACTCACCTCTTCACACTTTTCATCTAAGTCATATGGTCGCCATTTCGGCCTCAAGGGATACTGCAGGACATATAGCTGACAACACGCAAATCACATTTTAAGGAAATATATAAATTCAGAATTTCTATTAATACATAAAATTGAACAAAATGTTAAAATTATTACCTTAGTGTTAGGATCAATGGAGGGAGTAAGATAAACATCTATCTCTCGAATGACTTCATCCTCCTCCGCTTCACTGGCCATTGACTCGTCTCCGTCCTTCTCTTCATTTTCAATCACAGGTTTCATATCCACATCCATTTGTGTGACATTGCATGTACTAGATTCTTCTTCAATCTTGGATTTAGAGATGTGACTAGTGACCGGTATGGGATTTGAATCAAAGTCTTCCTCTTTAGCTATAGGAACAAAATTGGATTCCGGAAACACAGAATCAGAAGAAGAAGAAACAGGTTCTGTCTTCACTTTGGATAGTTGAGGTTTGAGTTTTGAATTCTTTGGCACAAATCGCGATCGTCGAGGTTGGGGCTTGGGCGGAGCATCATCGAAGTCATCTAGATCCATATCCACAATTTTCCTGCCGACAAAGAAGGATCCAACATTCAAGCCATGCCTCATTGACTTTTTGACAAAACTTGAATCAGTAATAATTCAACTAGAAAAGTTGTCCACTTTAAGTTTTAAATTTTAATGTTTTGGAAATGACACAGAATATAATCATTTGGCATATTTTCAAACAGAGTAATTTCAAAAAACAAAACATCAATACCAATATACTCCGTACCATTCAAAAACTCATCTAGTATTCCATCACACAAGTCGCCAAATTGGTGAATCTAAAAAATCTGTCATTTTATCTGAATATGATCTGTTCTCTTCCTTCATCTATTGGTGATATAAAATAAGTCTATGCAGCTCTCAAATGCTAATTCCAAACAACTCAATGGGCTTCCACTTTTAATTGGAAGAGTGAAGATTTTGGAAATCATTGGCTGCTGAATTTGAGTAAACTTAATTTGAACGAAAATCCTATAAAATAGCTCCGAATGTTACCAAAAGAGGTGTTGGTGCTGTGAAGGGTTATACTGGAATAGAAGAAGAGGTTAGCTGAATTGCAAGAATTCAGTCTAAGACTAGTCAGTGGCTCCAAGGTTGTTAGTCTTTGTACAAAACCTACAGGACACATTAGGTTAAAAATTAGAGAAGTTTGTATTGATTTTAGAGGGCATTCATTTTTCCCAGAAAATGTTACACAAACGAGTCAACAACAAACCCAATATAATCCCGATGGAATGATTGTGCATAGAACCTTGGTGCATTGATGCATTTACTGTACTCGAAATTTTTAAGAACATTACTTATATTTCTATTTTAGATAAAAAAAGATTTTTCAGTTTCCATCATCTCCGATCCAGCCAAAATTTCACCATTTTTTGGCTTTGGGGGGTGATGGAATAAATCAAAATGGATCTCTAAACTGTCTGCGCTTCTTTAATTAATGAAGTAGCAGTTAGTCAAGCAATGCAACTTTCAACGTTGAGCCGGGGGTCTCTTTGGAAACAGCCTCTCTACTTTCGAGTAGGGGCAAGGTCTGCGTACACACACCCTCCCCAAACCCTACTCTTGTGGGATTTAACTGGGTTGTTGTTGTTGTATAAAAAAAAATTTCATTAGATATCTCTGATGAGAATTTCATTATTTCACAACAACCTAGTAGAATCCCACTAGAATAGGGTTTGGGGAGGGTGTGGGTACGCAAACCTTACCTCTACTCGAAAGTAGAGAGATTGTTTCCAAGAGACCCCAGCTCAAGAAACACAAACTCCACAAAAAGCATAGAAAACACAGACCACAAAAATGAAGCACATAGCAAGCTAAGGGAAGAGAGAATATAACAATGGAAGAAAAAAGTAATGAAACAATAAGAACTAAGCAAAGGAAGAACACAACCACAAGGCATGTACAACCAGGCCCAAGAGTGTAGCCAACTATCCTAGTCCTAGTTCTCTAGATGCCCGCTTTATGCTCTTATTAAGGTCATATCTTCGGAAAGGCCTAAACGTCTTAGGTCTTATCTAATCACTTCTTTCCAATAATAAAATCATCCTGAGTGCTTGGGACAAAGGACCAGCCATATTCTATGTTGAGCCCCGAGCAATACAAGTATTTAGGGCCCTTTATTTAATGGTGCAATTAAAATATAAGTTGATAGTAAGTACAAACATATTATTAAAACTTATTAATTTACAACTTGTGAATAACAATATAGCTCTAATTTATTTTTATAAATTTTTACATCTATATATTTCAAAAAGAACAACAAATAAAATCTCCAAAAACAAAGTGAAGTACTCATGTATTGAAATATTGAATAATTAATCATGATAAATTTGGGAATTGGGATGAAGAAGTAAGCCGAAACCCTGAAATTGGAGTGACTCCTCTGAGATTGATCCTCTTTCACTGCTGCCTACTGCAAGCCGCAAGAAGATAAATTCGCTGCCTCGCGAGTGAGAGAGAGACAACAGTGACGGAGGGTTCAGATTGGGATTTGTTTTTATAAGAAACAAAAAAAAGTTAGAAAAGGGCGGCAAGCAGTTGATGAGCAAACCTGGAATAGCAAAAACCTGGCCCAAATTTGCCAAAAGGGCGAATCGAGTGATCTGGTTTGCTCCTGGCAGGTTACAAGCTTTAAATTAAATTAAACCTTTTTTTGTTTTTCAATTTCTTTTGGCCTCCTTCTTTATTCTAGACCAGTCAAAAATTAATCTGACCTGTTATTGATTTGACACCCGATTCAAAAATATAGGGTTTTGAACAAAGATTTTGTTGATTGAACCCGATGATGACCTGATAAAAATGGGTCAACCCTGACCGCACCCTAATGTAAGAGTTTTCCAAAACTATGTATTTAATATGGAAAATAATGTAATAAAAATAAGATTGTTTTTTATTTTTTTTCTTAGAAGAAATTATCTTAAATAATCTCACATTTTCACGTTTTTTCAAAAATAATCTCACTTATCACTATTACCGGAAATAATCCCACCTTTCCGCATGTGTGTGAATTTTAGACTGTCGTTAAAAAGCTAACAACTATTTAACGGAATTTTTGGAAATTGGAATTATTTTTGAAAGAGGGCAAAATGGTAGAATTATTTGAGATAATTTTCTCTTTTTTTATTACTCATTTTTGGTGTATAAACATATTTGAAGCAATTTTTTAAAGATATCATATAGTTATCTTATATTTTTTTCAAAAGTGATGCATTTTTATTTTTTCTACTACCCATTTCATTAAACACACCTAAAAATGAATTAAAAACTCAAAATAAATATTCTAAGAGGTTTAATATATGTATTTTGATAATTTATTGAATTTAGTGCAAAATGCAAGTGCTAGCATGAATTTAAAAATTCTAAAAATAAATGTCATAACCCGTTGGGCTGACTCAAACCCGATGATACTTTTCATGAACAAACACTTCTCAACCCAAACTAACACGAACCTGATGTAACCCAAATTTGAAGTGATCGAACCCAATTCCAACCTGAGCAATTTGTCAGCTCTAATTCTCTAATCCTCTTTTTTTGAGTGTTAGAGAGTATTAACAATGTTCTGAGAACCAAACCAGACATCTTGCATTTAATGTCCAAAAGATATGTTTTTTGAAACATACATTTAATTTAAAGATACGGAGTAATTTATAATAGTTTAATGGTTCATGCAAATCTTTCATTAGCCTACATTTAAATTAAAATATTTAACATAATATTTATACACATTTATTGGCAAATATAGCCATGAATGCAGTAAAAGAAGAAGAAGAAGAATGAGGCTGAAAAGAACAAACAAACCCCCTTCCCAACCAAATCATACAAACCCTAAAACTGATTCACTCCCTTACAAAAGACAGGTGACAAGCATAATCAATAATTTCGAAATAAACAATAAAAAAACTATAAGAATTGAAAAAGAATTAAAGGAAGAAAGAGTTTGCTAACCTTAGATTAGATCTTCTTTCACACTTTCGCCGTGGAATTTGATAGGAGTAGAGGCAATACTGTGATGGAGAAAGTCGTAGAGGCTTTATCGATGATGGAAGAGGCGAATAGGGTTTAAGATTTCAGCGTTGGAGTCTAATTTAGGATAGGAAATTTCTAAAGGGCGGTGGTTGCAGGAGTGTAATTTAGAATATTTTTTGTACAGAGTCTAATTTAGGATAGGAAAGAAAAAGATAGGAAAGGTTTTTTTAGGTGGTATGTCATTATTTCAATAAACTTTTTATTCCCAAAAAAATAAACTTTTTATATGGCCAAATTGCTGCTATAGCCCCTTTGATTTGAAAAATATGCATCAATAACTCTTTTTTTAAAATTTATTTCTGAAATTCCTGTAATTTCAAAACCTTGCATCCACACTTTCTCTAACTATTTTTTGATCATTTTTCTGTCATCTCCGGACAAATAGAGAGTACTTGGTGATATTTTCCAAATCATAGAGGGCAACAAAGCTCATTTCTTATTTTTCGGTTACTTTTTTGTTTTTTTTTTGTTTTTTAACTCTTTTTTCATTTCTTTATTTCTTTTTCTTATAAAAGTTTTTTGATTTCTTTTCTAATTTTTTATAATATATTAAAATTTCAAAACGGTTTGTGTTCTGAATAAAAATTAAAAATTGACATATACTTCATCGGTCTCAAATTAAACATTTTAAATTTTTTATTTTCTAGAATAAAAAATGGAAGTTCAAAAAAAAAATCTAGAATAATAAATAAAATATGGAAAAACAAAATGAAAAATTAAAACATACAAAAATACTTTTATACAAAAAAAATTCAGAACATCTGAAAAGTCATTATGACTGAGATGTCCATAAAACAATATTCATTTTAACTTTTTTCTTTTATTTTATTTTTTGTTGTATTCCTTTTTTTTGAAATCCAAAAAAAAAGTTTTACTTTTAATTTTGAAAAACAAACAATAAAAAGATGCAGTACATGTTAATTATATTTTATTTCAAACAAAAATAAATAAATTTTAAGAACATTATAAAACCATTTTTTAAAGAATAGAGAAACCTTTATAGATAAAAGAAACCAATACAGAAAAAGAGAAAAACAAAAAAAGAAACGGAAAATTGGGAATTACCACCGGTGCCCCCTATTGTTTGGAAATTAAATATCAATACTCTCTTCTTTGCCAGAAAATGGTCGAATATGATTAGAAGGGGTGTGGGGCTAAGGTTTTGAAACCACAAATATTTTAAAAATAAGTTATAAAGGCTCCTTAGGCCAAATTGTTTGATAAAAAGGATTGAATATTTGATTTGGTTGTTCTTCTTGAATTAGTTTGACTTTGAAAGAATTTTAACTTTACATTGCTGTTAAATCTAAACTCAAAAGGTATTCTCAAAACTATTATTCACCAGATTTTATTTAAATTGGACCAAATTAGAATCGCGACCTAATCCATATTAAAATGACATTCTTTTAAAGACCAAAGTGCTTTAAATAGTTAAATTTTTCTAGAAATTAAGTATCACTTGATTAGTATTTGGCTGACTCGTTAAGTGGTTTTTGCTAATCAAGATTCTCTAATTGATTTTGTTAAATAACCATAGTGTTACTGCAAAATTGTTGTGGTGATGTTTTCCATAAATCTTAATGTGTTATTCTTAATAGTAACTTAAGGATTGGTCTTTGAGTTGCCAAGGGTAGTAGAGTTTAGAGTCAATGTTGGTCTTAACATAAGCTAGTATGAATGGGAGAATAGGGAAGAACCAGTACTAGACATCTTTTTCAGTCTAACCCTGAGTTTAATTAACATTTTAATTTCAAAATTAAGGCGTAATTAATTAAGGAATCATGTTTTTTAGTGTAATTTCTATTAAAAACTATAAGTGTTATCAAAATGGTTTAAGTTAATTATTATTGTCGAAGTTTTATAAAGTGTAAATGTGTGTTTGTTTTCTCCTTGAGTATTCTTAGTTCGAGTTTTCGTTGTAGTTCCGTTCTCTTAGCTGTTATATTTATCTTTATTTTATTTTCATCTTTATCTTTTTGATTTACTTTTCAAACCCCATATGTTAGTCTTAGTTATTAGTTTTAGTTAGTTATTTTTATTCAACAAAAGTGACAAGTGAATTGATTTTCATAGCTTAAAACAAATTTTTCCTCATAGGATCGACTCTTACTTTCCCTATCTATGTGTTTTAATCCATATTTATCTTATAGATCTTCGTACATAAACACCGTTAAAAGAACTATTTTTTTGCAACAAAAAAAAACAAAACAAAAAATCTATATGTAAGTCATGTAAAGTGTGAGAAGACCCACTTTTTTTTGTACGTGGACCTTGGCCCTATAGAAGCACAACTCTTTTTTTAAATGTAGGAGAAAATAATTTCTTAGTTTTGATGAGGTTTATGATGAAACAATCATTGAATATAGTTATAATTTCTATTTTAGTTAATCTAAAGTAATTCTTATCCAGTTTAGTTAAGGGAAAAAGACCAAAGTAGGACTAAAACTTTGAAAATATACCAAAATAGGACTTCCATGTTTTAATTCCCTAAATAGGACTTACATTACGAACCGTGGTCATATACATTACCAAAAAGCATAGTAATTTGCACATGTACACTGCCACATTACCACAATGCAAGGTCACATTACCACAGTGCAAAGTCCTATTCCGGGAAAAAAAGCATGAAAGTCCTGTTTTGGTACTTTTATCTATGTTTTAGTCATATTTAGGATGATTTCTATTTAGTTAAAGTGTATATACTACCTTTGTCTCAATATATGTGTCTAGGTTTGACTTTTTTATGTCAAAATTGATAAACTTAAACTATTATTTGAAAAAAACTTATATCGGATATTGATATAAAAATAATTTTATTAACATGTAATTCTTATTTAATTATAGGTCAAACATCAAATTGGATTTATTGCAAAAGATCAAAACTGTAGTAAACAAATACTCTAGGGCGGATGAAGTAAACATGTTATTGAGCGAAGGAAGCAAAGCGAGTTGTTTGAAGAATGCCTCATTGTATTTCAATTTATCATGAACAAAGTGACAGTCAATTTCAATGTGTTCGCTAAAAAACATAAGATTTGCAGTGATATGAAGATCGAGACGAGGAAGAATTGTAGTGTCTCAATGCTCACTATGAGTATGTCTTGTGAGTTGTGAGAAAATGTACGTGAGTGGAATAAGATAGATTAGGACGCATGATAATAATATAAACAAATATGATAGCGCTACACCATGAAATGTACTCTAAGTTGTACCCCAAAGAAATAGATCAACATTTACGATTCATACTAACACAAAATGTTAGTTCAAGAAAAAAATTGCACTGACATTTTGTATCAATGTAAACCATTACATGCACTAGCATTACACTATCATATAATGTTAGTGCATGCATTTGGATTACAAAGTGGAGTATACTTTTTGGGGTACAGATAACTTAATTCTAAGACAAAATAACCATGCTAGGGGTACACCAAGAAATGTACCCCAAGTTGTACCCTGAAGAAATACACCGATATTTTAATGGTTCATACTCACACAAAATACTAGTTAAATTAAAAAAATTGCACTGACATGTTGTGTCGTAAACTATTACACTAGCACAAAATATTGGTGCATGCACTTGAAGTACAAAGTGGGTAAACTTTTTGGGGTACAAATAGCTTAATTCTAAGACAAACAACATCATAGGGGTACACTAAGAAATGCATGTACCCTAAGAGATATCGACATATTTTGAAGGTAGGCACGCCTAATATGTTGATGAGAAACATTGATCATTCATTGGATTTATGTAATGGTACACAGGTGATAGTAACTCGGTTGAGTAATCACTCAATATATACAAGAAAATATATTATCTGAAAGACACATGGGTGAAGAAGTTGTTATTCCAAAATTATCATTGACACCATCTGATACAAGAATTGTATTGAAGTTTCAAAGAATTGAAGACAATTATTTGTGGTTACTTCATATGCAATGACGATTAACAAGAGTCAAGTCTAATATCTGAAACATGTAGAGTTATTGTTACGAAAATTAGTATTTAGTTGTGGACAACTATATATGTTACAGTTTCAAGAGTAACAAATCATAATGGCTTGAAGCTTCTGATATACAACAAATATGATATTCTCACAATCTGTACGAGTAATGTAGTTTAATTATAAATAATTTTTTCAAAATTTATAATTCATTTGATATTCATACTTTAAAATATTAAAAAACTTTATATTCCATTATATACGAATTCGTATTCTTCAATTAACGATTCCAATATAATAATAACGTGAATACGAGTCGTGCAACACACGAGTATGGTACTAGTATACGTATATCATTATTACACATTTACCAAAAAAGGAAATAACAATTTCTTTTAGGTAACATGGAAAAGAAAATTGTGTTATTCTTTTTTAGAGAAAAATAAAATTGTAAGCAATCTCTTGGCTCGCAGATCTTTATCACATATTTACCAAAAAAAGGAAATAAAAATTTATTTTAAACAACATAGAAAAGAAAATAGTGTTATTCATTTTGAGAGGAAAATAAAACTATAACCCAAATCTCATAAGTTTATTTATTTAATTTTTTTCCCTAAAAACAAAGTGGGGGGGGGGGGGTTTCTTTTGGAAATTAAATAAAAAAATGATGGAATAAATATATGTATGGATGTGCATGTAGTATGTATATATGTATATATATGATGGCCAATTGATTGGATCATCATCACATCCATTTCAGTCCAAACTGGCACTGTTTCTTCCACACTCTTTCACTTGTTGGATGGGTGCCTTTTTAATTGGCTTTTGGTGAGAGTTGCCTGATCCAATGGTGCCATGACACACCTTTTTATATTTTTATTTTTTTTTTGCATAATTTATTAATTAATACGGAGTAATACGTAATAAAAAACCAGCCCGCAATTCACTCTCACCACACATCTATACATACACTTTTGTGTGCTACAAGCTCCTTTAATTTCCATCGCGTGTACGCAATATTTTGCAATTTAATATAAATATATAATACTCCTTCCGTCCTAATTTATTTTTCAACCTTATTTTTTTTGTTAAATCAAATATCGATATAAATTTGCACGTCAAAATACATTTATTTAAAGCAAAT